ATCACTGGTGTTAATTTTATGCTGGACAGTTCTTGTCCTACCCTTCTTTCTTTCTTTATGCCTACAATAACTTCATCTTCAATATCTGCTACTAATGCTCGATGTTTAAATTTAGTGTTTCCTATGACCATCGTGATGTCCACTTCTCCATGAACAGTAGCAGTATCTCCTGTTGCAGTACGTAGTCGCCGATTGGTAGATTTGATCTTGGACATTTCGACAATATCTGGCCTAATAATTGTCTTCGTAGCACCTGTATCCAGCAGCAGCACATGTAACTTTCCATTAATAAAGCCACAAAAACACTGCTGGACTGGTGTAGAAGAGATGCGACACGTTCGATATCCTCTGGGGCATGCTGGTTACAGGTCGACCCTCGACCCTATCTAGTTTTCCGAATGAGATGAAGTCGGTGCATCCTGGCTTTTTCTGCAACGACTTCGTATATGTCCGAGCTTTCCACATCTCCAACACCGGATTTCCTTCTTTTCTGGTAGATTTTCTTTAAGAACTCGCCTGATTTCTTCAATTATACTGGGTTCCTCCTCTTTTTCTTCCTCGACTCTCCTAATTCTATGCCTGGCTTCTGCAGCTCTGCTTTGCCGCCTCGAATTCCAAAGCTCGAGCCAATGCATCAACTAGTTGGCTCGGACGAGCCAGTGTTAGAGCCTGTCTTGTTTCGTTGTCCCGAAGTCCATCCAAAAAGGCTTGAACCGCTAATCGTTCCATAACGGTCGTTGGAGTAGCTGGATATGCTAACCGGACCAAGCGTGCAATATCAGGGCTGCAGCCTCGAATTCTTGTAAAGTCTCGTTTGGCGGTTCTTTAGTTGGGAATGGTACACATGTTCCAGAAGTGTCTGCCCATATCGCAGTTCCAGGTGTTTCTCCACCCTGCTTAAAATACCCCATAGAGACCCTGTTCAAACCGATAGATATTTGTATCGGGATGTATGGTGTTTCTATAGGGTGTATCGGTTTGTATAGGACCCGTAGTTGAGATTTATGGTTGTTCTATAGGGATATCCACCATTGATTTATTTGCTATCGGTTTCAATGGGGAAAATACACATAAATGTAGAATTTAGTTTTTTCCCTATAGGATCCTATAGGTTTTAATAAAATTTTGTCAAATGTTTTATGGTTGCTCTATAGGGATATCCCTATATATCCTTCATTGAGTTATTTTCTATCGGTCTCAATAGGGAAAATGTAAAAGTTATGGTGTGCCTATAGGTAATTTCCTATACATTTTCTATCGGGCTGTATCCGGAAAAACCCATGGACAAATGCACATATAGAATCCGGTAGCGCCCGATAGATTATTTTGTATAGGTCTCTATGGGGTATTTTAAGCAGGGCAAGGCTTCGTAATCTTCTTGTTCGTTTGGAGAAAGTGTTTGCAAGATGTCGGTTGCATCTCCGCGTAAAGCAAGAGTTAATGCTGTAGCCTTCTCCTCTGGTACCCATATGGCAGCCATTTGCTTTTGCAGCTGCCTCAAACTGACGGATGTAATTTGTCCAAGAAGATTTTCCATCGAACTGAGGTGGTTTCATCCGTACTCGGCTTCCCTCCGGCATTACTCCTGGTCCCGTCAGCATTATAGGTAAATTTACAGCTTTCAGTTTACTATTTATTTCTCTAATTTTGACCTCCAATTTCTCGTTCTTTCTTTTCTCGTATCCAATTCCATCCTTACATCGTCAACTTTCTGTCCCACTTCTCTTCTAATTCTTTGACATTTTCTAGAATCTTCCCTTCCAAATATTCTTTTAGGATTTTAGAATTTTCTAGCATTTTCTGTTGAAACTTAAGTTGTTAGAATTGTCCAAAATTTTCTGTTGTAAATCGTTAGAATTTTTCAGCATTTTCTGTTGCAAATCGTCCTTTAATTCGTTGACATTTTCCAGAATCTTCTGTTGTAAATCGATTTTCAAATCGCTAGAAGTTTCCACCATTTTCTGTTGCAAATCGACTTTTAGTTCTTTAGAATTTTCTAGCATTTTCAGTTTTAAATCGTTTAAATTGTTAGAATTCTCTTACATTTTTTCGTTTAAAATTTGCAACATTAAATGCATATTACACGAACCTTCAAATAAATACGTATCTGGATTTTCACCCTCTTGTTCCAACGCTTCTTGAAGCCGCTGCTGCAACACATTCTTTTTTCCAGTTGTATCACATTCCCTTTCTTCTAGCTCCCGCTTAAGGTCCGCCACTTTTAAGTCCATTAACGAAACCATTTTCGCGTTTCACACTAACCGCACTCCTGACACCAATGTAACGTTTTTTACTGTTCGTAGTGTGAATTAAAACAGGCACTGGTTTATTAACGAACTAAACTATTTATTTTATCACTGGGTCAGAATTTCTCAAACGGGCCACCTGAATTAGGTCAAAATTAGTTTTTGATTGTAGATACATTTTTTCGATAGTATTTTACATCACTAACACAAATCCTAAAGGATTTTGTAAAAAAAAAATTTTCAATTGACATATTCATGATATTAAAAGTAAAAGTTTTTAGTAATTAAAAAATAAAAAAAAATCATTATGGCTAAACTAATTATCCGATTCCAACCATTTAACTAGCGTTGGAATCTTGTTTTGACATAGATTCTTTGTTATTTTTTTCAATTGTACAATTTTCATTTAGGTCGATTTTTTTTGTTTTTTTTATAACAAATTCGGAAATAATTGGCTTCTGCGCCAGCTATCGACTCGAAAAAAAAAACACATATACTCCAATCATTTTTCGAAATTATGCTGCTGAGAAAAAAAATGGCCCGCAGGTTCCAGACCACCGTAAGACGTCGCGTCACAAGCGCGTACAGCGTACACGGTTCGGAGCGTGAGCTGACACCGCGCGCGGCCACAAAAGGACGAATAACTTTTTGTCAACCTGCGGGCCATTTTTTTTCTCAGCAGCATAATTTCGAGAAATGATTGGAGTATATGTGTTTTTTTTCTCGAGTCGATAGCTGGCGCAGAAGGCAATTATTTCCGAATTTGGTATAAAAAAAAACAAAAAAAAATCGACCTAAATGAAAATAGGACAATTGAAAAAAATAACAAAGAATCTATGTCAAAACAAGATTCCAACGCTAGTTATATCATTGGAATCGGATAATTAGTTCAGCCATAATGAATTTTTTTATTTTTTAATTATTAAAATTTTTGACTTTTAATATCATCAATATGTCAATTGAAAAATTTTTTTTTACAAAATCCTTTAGGATTTGTGTTAGTGATGTAAAATACTATCAAAAAAATGTATCTACAAACAAAAACTAATTTTGACCTAATTCAGGTGGCCCGTTTGAGAAATTCTGACCCCACTACTAATTATTTATATATCACTACTGTACTAGAGTCTATTTATTTGCACGTATATTTATTTATTTCGTCACGAGTACCAAAACTTGACTGACACTCCATGCTGCGTCGTTCCTTATATATTCAGTGCCTACGTTTCCGAATATTCCAGCGAGCTCCACACAGCTGTCGATCGCTCGAGCGCTGACTCACCGGCGATGACTCATCATTCCGAGATCCAGAGCCGCTACAATTATATAATATATTTTTCTTTGTGCAAATATTAGAACATTATTTTCCAGAATGGTATTTATACAGGGTGTTATGTAATTAATGTTATATATTAAAATACTGATTACCTTTCGACATAAGGAATAAAGGAAAAATATTTAAAAAAACATTTTTCCAAAGATAAAGAAAAAATATGCATTAGAAGTTTTTTATATTTTTTGTGATACGCCACTGGTTACACACTTGTTTATCTCTGCACGCCTGTATTTTGTGAGTACCAACCAACAAAGTAGCTATGCGTTGCCAGATGTAAAAAATTGTTACTAAAAATTTTTCTTGCAAAAAATAAATAAAAACTCAATAAAGTTTTATGCCCTTAAAGCTCTAATACCCTTCTGTATTTATTTACTGATCCAGCTATTAGCTTAAGCAATGATTAGAAAATTTAGTACCTTTGAAATTTGAAATCCATAACCACAAAATTAATTTTTTCATCAGTTTTTTTCTCTGTTTACTCAGATGAAATTGGGACCAGTTCACAGGTTAAACTTTAAACATTTAATATTTGTGTAAATAAATCCAAAAGCACTTCCCTTAGTTAAGATATTTACAATTTGAAAACATAACCTAAAATTTAAAAGAAATGCACTAGATTCTGTCATAAAAGTTGGCAGATTTTGTTTGAATTTACCTTCAGTACAAAAATGAAATAACCAACAATTAATAAAAACGCCAAATTGACAATTTGCATTGTTAATTTTGTCATTTTTGTAATTAAGCTAAATTTAAACAATGTTTGTCAACTTTTTTGAGAGATTTTGGAAACACTGTCACCAACCATAACATAATAAATCCACCAGATTAACCTAAAGTTCCTAGTCGATCAGTGGCGTACTTTTTGGTAGGATAAAGGTTATTATAAATTATTTTTAGACTTTGGAATTTAGAAAAAAAAAGTTTCAGGTGCTTCTTTATGGACCCTAAGGAACAACCCATTTTAATATATAACATTAATTACATAACACCCTGTATATAGTCGAAACATCAACAATTGTTAAATATTAAAATTTTTTAAAAATAGCTGTTCTTTTTCGTACAGAAAGTTTCTTAATAAAGATTGGAATTATAGATTATAAAAAGGCCGATAGTGGTTAGGGCTCGTAATAGGTTAATAGAATTTTCAGGATTAAAACAAAATTGTAACATAAGTATGTATAATATATTTAAATACGCATTTTTAATTTTGATTTAAAATATCTATAAAACATTATTTTAAATTATTCAGTAGGTATGTATTTCTATTAAAAATTATATGAAATCTTAATTAAATTAAACTGTTTTGTTGGCATGGTAATACCAGTCTATTAGGCAACTGATCGCCATTTACACAAAACTTGTTAGTTAGTCTCAAAAACAAAAAAGTTTCAAATTATAACTACTAATGTTATGTCATATACATAAGTATACTTAACAGCTAGTCTCAAAAACAAAAACAAAAAATGTTTCAAATTATAACTACTAATGTTATGTCATATACATAAGTATACTTAACAGCTAAAAACAAGGGTTTTATTTGCCAGGACAAAAATCAACAATTTTTTTAAATGATAATAAACTAATTAATTACACAATTTCTTCTTTAACGTGAACTTTACTATGCTGAATCAAGGCGTCTTTTCTGCTAAATAAGGCACCACATGTTAAACAACTATGCTCCCTATTGACATCATGAATGCGCATGTGCCGTACAAGTTTATCTTTTCTACCAAAACTTTTGTTACATTTGGTGCATTTGAAAGGCCTCATACCTGTGTGGGTCACAATATGTCTGTCTAATTCCCTTTTTCTTATAAAACTTTTATTACATGTGCTACAGCTAAAGGGTCTGATCCCAGTATGTGAGGCATGATGATAGCGTAAATTATCGGGGGTTAAAAATCTCCTGTTGCATATGGTGCATTGGTGATTTTTAATGGCGGCGGGTTTTCCATTCGCCAGGGTTCCGTTGGAAAAACTATCGCCAGTTATATGAGCAGGCACTTGGGGTATACTCGAACCCTCTGCGACGTCTGAGTCTTGTTTTTGAATTGACAGCACATCATTTTGTTCGCTTTCAGAAGCAATATCCCGATTAGGAGTCGAATTAAAATTATTGTGATTAAATGGATCCAAATTAATGACCATATTTTCAGATCCCTCTGCTGTTTTTTCTTCTGCAAAACATTCGCTTTGGTTTGAATTAACATTATCAAATTCCAACCCTAAATTTTCTCTAAGGTTCTGTAGTTCTTCAGTTTTATCGGTTGAATCTTGAACGAAATGCTTTTTCTCGTGCCTTAATAACTTATCTTTTCTAGCAAAACTTAGGTTGCAGTAGTTGCAATGAAATGGTTTTTGGCCAGAATGAATCATTCCATGGCGAGTAAGATCTCCTTTCGAAATAAAGGTTTTCGGACACTTTGAACAAACAAACGGTTTTTGTCCGGAGTGAATTCTCATGTGTTTGGACAGGTTTGTATTTCTTGAAAACGACTTGGAACAGACAGTACACGTAAACGGTTTAATGCCCGTATGGACAACCGTATGTTTTCGCAGGTCCGATCTTCGGGCAAAAGTTTTATCACACTGAGGGCAGTTGTATGGCTTATCATTCTGATGAACACTTTTCAGATGGGCTGAATATTGCAGTCTATCGGAAAAGTCCATGCTACATTCCGAGCACGAATATGGAATTTCATTATTATGGGCAACAGACTCGTGTTCGAAACATTCATTTTTGTCTGTAAAAGCATGGTCGCAAAACTTGCACATTGATATATTTTTACAGTCATAATCGTTGTTTTCCAGGGCATCATTATCACTTTGCCTTTCATTATCACTCTCAAATTCGGAATCGTAATCCAATGCAGTTGGATCGACAACCATAACCACATCTTCGTCGTTCGCATTACCAAGTTGTTCGTACAGAGGAATTTGCGAAAATCCATTTTCTCGTCTTGGACCCGATACACCATTTATTTGACGAAGAGTTGCATCGGACATGAAACATAGTTGTCGGAATTCTAAACAAAATTCGACTTTGTAGAGACAACGGTGACATATTACGTTTGGCAAACCATCTCCAAATGTTATCTGAAACAATAATTTTACAATTACATATTGACAAAGAGGAATCAGTTCAAAGTTTTTTGTTTATTCAATATTTTTAGTCTTTTAACAAGTTTTTCTTAAAACTATACATGTGTAGTAAGCAACAAATATCTACTAGCGGACACAGAACATAAGAGAATTAAAAGCGCCGTAGTCAAAAGTGGCAACAAGCATTGGTTGATTTTTAAATCTAGCAGCCTTGGAAAACCGAGTTGTTTTTTTCGGCGGGAAATTTGAATGATTGGCTATTTGAATTTTTATTTAAAACAAGGAAATATAACCGAAAATTGTTTAAATTTTATATTTTTTTGATTTTAAAAGGATTATATACGTAATATTGTCCATTAAAAATCAAAAAATGTAAAATTTCGACAATTTTCGGTTATTTTCCACTAATTAAGTGGAAAAACACACATTTTTGTTTTTTTTAATAAATATATTTAACAAAATATACACTTAATTCAATTTTAAATTAAAGTATAACTAACAAATAATATTTAAATGAGGAGAAATTCAAAGTTAATTATTCTATAACTTTTAGTGATATTTAAAAAAAGGTTTATCAAACATGTATAATAATTTATAATTATTTAGGTATAATTTATCAAAAAGTATGACATTAAATTGATAATTACCCTCTTATATATGCCTACAAGACAATTATCACTTGATTACAGCGATAATGTTCAGAAATTTTAATTTTGTGTCACATAATAACAATTTTTATAGGTTTTTTAAGATTTCTTAATAAAAATGCAAAGGTTTATAACCAAATTAACTCTAAAACATATTACAAACCATCAAAATATTCTTGATAAACAATAGTTCAATACTTATTGGTCCTTATTAGAAAACAACCTTTTAAAACAGTTCGAGTATATTATATAATTAAAATTATTTTAACTTTGAATATGTAATTCATAAAAATAAATAATTTTGTAATACATACTGACTTATTGTATACCTATAGGTATTTCCAAATTTCTTTATTGGAATAAACCAAAAGGCTTATGCCTAAAATGTTGAATGCCATAATTAGACTTATTACAAACCATACTCTTATAATTTTTAGGAATTATAATTTGTTTTTAAAATAAGCACAATACTGTAGTTTTGTAAAATATAGAATTTTTGGCAAAAAGGAATTCCTACTTATCCAAAAATTAAATTACATTCTTTGGAATATTTAATTTTTAGTAAAATTGGTTTAATTAAAATTAATAATCAATAGAACCACTTAAATCTCAATGTTAAAAATATTGTTATTATGTATTTGGCAAAATTAAAATCTTTATGTATGATTTAACTTTCTGGTCAATATTAAGTATTAATTGTCTTTTTTCTTGTTCATGATTCATGGATTGAACCTGCGTCTTTTTCTTGATTCAATGAAGAATATTCAACTGCAATTAATATTTTCTATGTTCTTTTGCAAAGAAGTTTGATAAATTCAAGTCCTGTCTGCTTCTTCCATTAACACAAACCCAAACCTGAAATCAATACCAATTTTAAAATCAATTTAAATTGTAAAACAATTAATATTACCTAATAATTTTTAAAATAAAATAAAAATAATGTATCAATATTTATGCTACTTATTTATGCTAAATGTAATTGTTTTACCAGCATAAGAATAATTGAATGGTTTATTGTAAAAACAAGCTAAGTAACTAACTAAATATAATTTTGTTTATTTTTTAATTTAAAAATCTTGTGCTGTTTTAACATGAAAATATCCTTTTTTAATATCCTAATAAAAATCCTAAATAAAATATTTCTGCCTCAAAATAATAATTTAAAGCAGAAGTGTATGTAATATAAAAATGTCAGATTGCTTGTTTTAACAATAAACAATTTAATTATATTTGGAGTAAATTCTAAAAGTGTACTTTCTTTAATGGTCAGGCTTTTACTTTTTTTTATATTTGGATTGTAACTATGGATGTGTGAATATTGAATTCAAGAATTATTTGAATAGTTTGAATGTTTCAAATTTTTAAATGGTTCAATTAGAAAGTTAAAATTTTTCAATAGTAATTGAAGAAATGGAACATTTAAATTGTAATTTAAAATTTATTTTAAAATAAAAAGAATGTTATTTACTTGTCATTAACCCTTAATTAACTTATTTGAATAGATTATGATTGTAATTATTGAACTATTCAAATAATTCAAACTATTTACTAGTTTAAATATTTAATTTTAAGTTTGAATTAAATATTACTACTTAATTTATTTGGTAAAAATATTCACACACCACCAATTGTAACTAAAAATGTATTCTAAATAAAAAAAATATATCTACCTATTATTAAAAAAATTTGGTCAAATATTTCTGTTTGGGATTGACGAGTAAAGCTTTCATTCTTTTTCTTCATGCAGGATAAATCTTGTCTAATTGTTCCATTATTGCAGAAGCTAAAATTAATTATATTAAATTAAAATCAATTTATATTGTAGCAAAAAATAATTGAATTAAAAACTTTAAAAATAATTCTTTAAAAGGTTTGCTTATGATTCATAAGTTATGAATTGTCTAGTTATTTATGTACATTAAAAATGTCAGACTTTCAGATAGAACAAATGAAGGGGTCAATGCAAGAATTCTTGCACTTAAGTGCCTAAGTCGCATTTTCAATTAAATTTACATTTTGGCTTCATCTAAGAGTGTTTCATGTAAGGTTTCAGGTGGTATTTTCAAAGTGGCAGAAATATGTGCCCAAGTGCCTTAGTTTGCATTTACTTCAATGGGAGTTTGTCTGGTTTTTAACTTATGTGAAAACTCTTGGATGAAGCCACAATAACAATTTAATTGAAAATGTGACTCAGACACTTCTTGCATTGACCCCTTCAAATAAAATAACTATAAAAATACTGTAAAAGATTATCACCCTGTAGTTAAAAATGCTATATTTATGTAAAAAAAAACATAGAAAGCACAAAACATTTGTAATATAATCAAGTTTTGAACTGTATGCTTACAAGTTTTTAAAATGACCTCTTCCAGCTGCAAACATCTTGTAGATACTGCCGAGTTCCAATTCGTGTATTTAGCTTTTACAAATCTTGGGGCTCATAAATGTTATCTTTTATAAAGCCCCAGAGAAAGAAGTCGCACACTGTGATATCGGTTGAATGTGTTGACCATACATGAAGTTCCAAATTGTTGGGCCCTTTACGTCCGATCCACCGATGAGGGGGCTGTTCGTTCAATAACCTCCGCTCCACCAAATGCCAATGTAGTGGGGCCCTGGACCCAGGTCCAGTTTTCGCGTAGCTACATCAAATAATTTTAACAAAAACATACATTTTGACAAAGATTATAGGTATATTTAATATTTTATATAACAGCAACTAGTGTCGAGAAAAAAAACGTTAAAAACTGTTTTGATTGAAAGTTTTGAATCAAAACGCTTTAAAACTATTTAAATTCTATCAAAACTTGCATTAGTTAAACAACCCATAAGCAAAGAGTAAGAGTCTTTACTCTTTGCCATAGGTTTTATTACATAAAAAGAATTTTATTAACTACATGTGTTTTCGGTAAACATAGAGAAAAAAACCGGTACGGTTTATTACACGTATTTTCTTATTTTAAACGCGGTAATGATGCTACAACTAACTCAAACTTGACTAAAAACACCTAATAAAATGTTAAAGCCGAAATTAACAAGTTTACTTACCTAAAACAAAGAAAATTTGGATTATAAAACTTCGTACACAACACTGTCGGCCATTTTTAATTTCTCAAACCGCGACCATCAACGAACAAGTTGGAAAAGACCAATCACAACCATAGAGTCTATGATCACAACAAAGTAAGAATCACGTGGTTAATAACTGGGGTTTGTCAAAAACAACTTGGGTTTCAACGCATGCTAGATTTATTTTACTGTTGCCTGTTGTCAAATTCCCCTTATACCCCCCTGCTAGCGGATGGCGACAGTCGGTCATTATTAAGTTGACAGTGTTGCCGGTTTAATCAAAATAGAAGAAACGTCAAGTTAAAACTAACCTACAAAACGACAAAATGGTAAATAATTCAATCAAATCATAAAAGTATTATTTGTACTAAAAATTTGTTATTTACGATAGAAATAATTCAAAAATCGTTGAGTAATTAATTTTAATTTATTATAGGTTAATATAGGCGATTTAGTCAGTTAGAAACTTTACATTGAAACTCGACATGCAGATAGAACTAAATACAAATGGCATGTAAACAAGCACGAAGACAGTTATTCCAGCTTAATTATTTTTTAATATGTGAAAATGAAGCCAGGGGCCACAAAAAATTCTGTTTACAAGTAAGTATAAATACACATACACAAATGTCACCCTGAGGCAATTTGTTGGGATTCTTACAACTGGTGGATTATACCTCAACCCGATGAAAAATCCCTAACAATCTATGGAGGATATCAGTTTAAATTAACCTTCTTTATAAAGAAGGTTAATTTAAACTGATATCCTCCATAGATTGTTAGGGATTTTTCATCGGGTTGAGGTATAATCCACCAGTTGTAAGAATCCCAACAAATTGCCCCACCAAAAGCGGAGGATGAAAAATGTGCCACCCTAATGTTTAGTTATAGTTCAGGGTTCTAATATTAAACACTGCAAAGTACAATATGTTTTATTGGAAAATTTAATTTGGAAAATACAAGTCCAGTAAAAATATGTAGGTATATACTGCCATGCTAACACCCATATTTGCAATATTAAGTAATAAAGGATATAAAATTATTTTTTATTGTTTTTAACAATTAAAATAATATTTTGTCCTTTATAACTAGAGATGGGATTTTATGTTGCATTATTTATAAAAATAGGTACCTACCTAAATAGGTAAACTTTTTTTGTTTTAGGTGAGAAAATTCTTAAATTAGGAACGTTTTTTTTTAAAATCCTGGAAAACAACTTTTAGGTAGTAAAATTATTTAATTTATTATTGTTTAAAATTTTATTGAACAAGATTTTTA